CCCCCCCCCCCCCCCCTCCCCCACTCTACCCTAGACTTGCCTACCCACCTTTACCCTCATCCTTCTACTGCTAACACAAGCAGCGCGCCGCTCACTCGAGCCCTCTCTTTGATCTGCTCTCCCTCTCACTCTACCGAGAAGTTACTTATATGCTTCTCTACCTCTCTCCCTCTCTCGTTCCTCAAATCTCGCCAACTCTCCCTCTATACACTATGACTGCGATTGCATTCATGGTTTGGTTTCACCATGAACCTTGAGACCAGAGTATTCATTTTCTTTAAGGTAAACTTTCACTGTAGGGGCACTTGTTTCACTCGAATCTGCTTTTTGACTGGAGTTGAGAGGGTGCTAGCCGATTTTATCAAAGTACTTCTCTCTGTTATCTTTTTTAGTTGCCATTTATTCCAATATTAATAAATATACGCTTCCTGGGTTTAAATATGTTGATTAATCATAGTTGCTTAGACTTGTGTTAAGTTGCTTATTCATCAGTTTACATCCAAACTGTAGAGATAAAGAGTTAGAAATTCGAGCAATAATTTTTACTACATTTTCTTAGGCTTATTAGTGGTAATAAAGATCTTCCGAGGTCAGTAAATTAGGTCTATTCTTATCCATACTTCCGATGGAAATGGAAGGGGGTTGAATTTGAAGAAAAGTAAGTATTTGAGCCACAGCATTTAGGGCTTTTTGAAAGCCTGATTTTTCCATTATTTATCACATTATATCCAAATGTTCCATGTAAGGACTTTCAGAATCCAAAATGGAAAATTATTAAAAATGCCTGATGCGTTAAGATAGCCTGAGGACATTTTTATGAGAAATTCGCGTTCTTACCACCCCTCGTGTTGAACAAAATCAACCAGTACGGTTGGCCATTCACGTACACGAATGCAAATCGGTGTTCAGTGCTCCCGGACTTGTCAGACGTTTACTTTGTCAGATGCGCTACTGTCAACTGCATGATTTATTACCTTGTGTGCGTTCTCAAGTCAATTGATAATATGATAATTTTCGTTTTGCTGTTACTTGAAGCCTTTAAGCTGTTTAGAATTCCTTCAATATTCAAATAGTTGGCTTATAGCAGTATTACTATTTTACCTGCTGAATAGTTCCATACTGCCAACATTTCGGGTCCTCGTTACTTGACTTGACGTTACTGATGGGAAAACAGGCTCTTGCTAAAGTTAACCGTTCAATTAGATAATTGTGGCATGAGCAAACACGACCACTTTTTTCTCCTTTAAATTTAATCTAGGAAATTCACTGACGTCGGCACACGGCAGCGGAGCATTTGGAAGGCATCGTTTGCTCTTGTTCATGTAGGCTAACACTTATGCGGCGAGAACACATGCGTGTACCTACGTGAATTTGACATTTGGCATCAAATATGGCCTCTAAAGTCCGGCTTCCCCCCCCCCCATCCCAGTTTCAGGACTGGGACGAGTTTGTTTGGTGCAGTTTGCGGCTGAATATCGCATACATTTAAAGTGATTCCCTATTTTTTAGATTCTTGTCCTCTCCTATCATGCTGATATTCCGTACAAAGTCTCATTAATGTACTTTCAATCTTTCTTTGCTTTGCTAATATCACACCTAAATTCTGGCTTGCAGTGAGTTAGGCCTACCACTGATCCTCATTAAAAGCCAAAAGTATGTTCAGATACAGGGTCCGTGGTTTTTTGCTGCAGTTTCATCTGTGCTCTACAGTGACTTATTCATACCCTTCCAGGATCTAGATAATCCATTCCTAAAGGATCAATCACTCTTAATTCTTACACTGAGGGGTTAAATGTTAAGATGTTGGTATCGATTTGTAATGCTGTTTGCGTCTTGGCTACTCTGGTGAGAAACCCTCCTTCTTTCACTCCGCTTTGGTCATGTCTTGATCGCTGACTTGACGATGGCCACTACGTCAACAAAGCGTACTTGCTTCCCCTTATACTCGTTTCAAAACTTGTTGAAATTTTAATAGTCATATATTGTTAGCATTGGTGTCGAAGCTGATTCTACCAGTGTTGTTGACGAGATGATTTGTAATTAAATTTTACCACGTTAATTGTATGTTGTACCAGAATGCCTTGCACAAGCTTTCTTGTTTAATCTGACAGTCATTTGAATTCTTTGATGAATGACCTACCCCAACCACGACAGCATGTGATAACACCCTTCCGTTTTTCGCATTATAACACAAAGTTCGCCTTCCACACACGCACGCACACATACACACACTCAAAGTGCACTGGTCTTCTTCCATGAGGCCTAGTTTCACACCACATAAGTTGTGCACCTAGCACAGAACGTTTACCCATTTCCCACAGTGATCAAGACTGGGAAAATTATTCTCCTATTTGAATTAGGGTATGAGAAAGAGTGAAGGGGGGATTTTTATCATTTTCTTCAATTACGATAAGTATTGTCAATAGGCAGCTTGATGAGAGAACGCGGGGAAAAGCAGTTCTCATGGACAAAAGCCCTTTACCACTGTGCTTAAGCAAGGAAATCGCTGAGTCGACAGCAGATTTATTGATTTTTTCTCATTGTGTGACGCGTCTCCCCGCCCCCTTTTTTCCTCTCGATTATGTGCTTGTTCAAAAGTTGGGCAGTTAGTCAATAGCAATGCTTTTTCAACAAAGAGGCTCTTCTTATCTGGAAGCGTTAGAGCTGATATGATCACTCTAAACTGATTTGATTGATGTACTACTTTATTAGATTTATCGCTTATCTTCCCGCTTGTACAAAATCCCAAATTCAAGTAAGGGACCCAAGTGTTAAACTATCAACCCAGCATTATTAGTATCGCTCAAGCCTTTGTTCTATTATGGTATATTTTATTGGGAAAAGAGAGAGGCATCCTCCCGCACTGTCATCTAAAATGACAAGGAGATGGCTAGGTTCCCCTCTGGGGGGGGGGGTATTACAATGGTTGTTTAGCTAATTCTGTTTGGACCAGCGAGTCCACTCAATTTTCCCTCCTATTACTATGCTCTCATTGGCTTTTTCAACTCCATTAATTTCCCAATGCGCACTTCTCGCTGGACTTCATAATTTTAATAGCCATGTAATAAACCCTTCTACCTCTGCATTACTGGATTTTTCGATTTGGAATTAGTGTTGTGCCTTCGTGTTTATGGTCATTTATCTACTCTACTGCCCTGGATGCTTAGAGTAAAGGAGCCTAAATTGAGGCCTTCGTTTTGATATAGCAACGAGCTGTACTCTCATTTAATTCGTCTTCTGAATCACATTTTTGCGGTCTATGTTGGGCATAACGTCGTAGATTCGGAGTTTGCTTTACTGAACCATCTTTATTTTCAATTCCACGTAGTACCTCTAATGGTCGCAGACCATCACCTCAAAGGTTACTCGTTGCCTCCTGCCTATTCTTAAGAGCTAAATGGTGAATAATTTATTCAGCTTCCGATTTTCACCTACCATATAGCGTCTCTCTAACTTATTGCTGCTGATATTTAACAAAACAGCAGTTCTAATCGACCACAAAGACTTAGCAACATGGAATTTTCAGCATTATACCTCGGTGTAACCAGCGGCAGCAGCAACTGTTGTCGACTGACGCATACAGGGAGGGTTTCTGTGCTTATTGGACCAGCACATCGTCATAATTTGCCGACATTGCGGAGTAGTCAGGAGACGCACTACTGTATGTCAATGAGTCAGCCTATGTCCCCCTTCTTAGTTCTCCTCTCAAGGCCACGCGTGAGGATGAGGAATAACCGGCCAATGTCACGAACTTTATTCTTTAGCCAAGACTGCTTCTTGTCTTGCGTGCCGCCGTGTGGTATATTTTTAGCTTCCCCCTCTATGTTAGTCATTGCGTGTAGTGTAGTGCGATGCCGTGCTGCCCACATTGTGGTGTGGGAGGTGGGAATTAGTTGCCCTTGAGACTCATACCACTTGCCATCTCTTTCGCAGTAGTGAAATATATGTCCTTCTCTGCATTCGGGTTTGAGTTCGTTGTGTCGACAGCGATGAAGACGAGTTTTTTCTCCAAGTCTTCTCTAATCGCTATAAGCAACTAAAATACTCCCCCCTTCCTTTTTTTGAAAAATTCTTCGAAGTGAAATTTAAACAATAAGGAAATTGCAGTCACACATATCTTAGTAGAAAACGGGGATATTGGTATATCGACGAATCGTGGTATATAATCGAAACAAAGTAGAGTTAGTATGGAGAACTTGAGTCATGCCTTTCAAATAACTCAATCAAAATGATCATTGAATAATGAAATTTCCCTATTTAAATATTTAGTATTACTTGCTACTTCGTAAACATCGGTTCCCTTTAGGAATCTTTCACACCTTTATTCAAATCACTTTCTTACATTTCGACTCATAAAATTCAGCATTCTTCACTGTGGTATTTCATCTTATTTAGATATTGATGGTTCTTTTCGACGTTCATTTGAGATGGTTAACCTCCCTTTGTAAGGCATTTGCTCTAACTCATCATCAATAGTAGGTAAATTAACCTGAAAATGATTGGAGCAATTTACCCCATACTAGCATTAATTTTGATTGTCCCAATAATACTATTCCATTGCATCTGTCCAATTGAGCTTGCCTATGGGCGACTCTCAGTGGTATATCTGTTTATTTATGATACTACTCGAAATAATCTCTGACTGTCTTTATTTGCTTAGAAAATCTCACTCCAGCGGGCGAATCGGTGAGTCGGGTTCCACTGAATGCATCAGATAGAGACTTAGCGGAGGGCCTGCCACTTATTCGAGACATCCTCAATCAGACCGATAACTCTTCAGCTTCCTCCTCCGTTTCCTCCAAACTCTCTCATCCACCTGCAGCTGCCGCACTACCTCAACCTCCGCTCTCCGCAACTGCAGATGGAGTGAGTTGTATATACTACCTGCATTCCGGTTTAAGTAGTCTAATTACAGCGACATATTCTTATATTTTTGTTGACAGTAATTTTCAAAGCATAACCGAGAAATTACCTGAATCGTCCGACTGCCTATTTCTAAACTGTAGTTTATTATTCGGTCCAAATGTGAGAAATCGTTTGAGAATTTTCTTATCTTCATATTTGTTACAATAACTGTCTAGTATTTATACAACCATCTTTGTAAGTTCACGATGCTGAATCTTAAGTCCTAATTCTGGTCTTTCATTGGCATTTGAGACATTCAGTTGTAAGATAAATGCAATTGTCAGAAGTATTTGCATGCAAGAGTAACATTCACTAAATCCTAAAGATCATTTTTTTGTGAGAGCAACTTCGAATCACCTTTTTATGCAGGCTGAATTATCAAAATCAACTTCATTTATTAGTCGAGCTTCTTCTAAGCATAAGCGTTGGAAATGCTCTCCATTCTTTAAATTAGCTTAAGCTCATTTGTGTCATCTGTCAGCATTTATGATTTCCATTCTACTGATCAAACCAGCATATAGGCTATTTAACATGTGAAAAAAATCATTTAAATATATGTGGCAATGTCCATGATTGTTTTAGGTCTCTCCATGCTGTGGGTGAAATGCCCACTGGAGTGAGAGGACAAGCATTTCCATTGATTAATGGTTGTCTGCAGGTGGTGGGTACTATGCCATATCTTGTATACATTCGCTACCTCTATAGATGACTGTGTTATCTATAGTCTTGTGTTTTCAGCATTTGTAATTGATTTTCGTTTCCCTCTGAAATTTGATCAACCTATGTCATTTCTCAAAATCCTCAGACAGTATTCTCATTTCACGCTAAGTGAATTACGTTGTCCCCCAAGAACATGCAGACGTAATAAAACCTTAAGTTCACACAGTGTTTAAATTTAATAGTACTCATAAATCACATCGGGCAGTGGAGGCCGATTTCGTAGAATCATGCTTTACGATGTAGTTTCAGATGTCGATCCCCTTCTCAATGTCGCGCGCTCATTCGCTCTTTGTTTACTGCTCAGGTCATTTCTTCCTTATTTATTTTTCATACTTGATTTGTCCTAATTAACCTGTAACTACAATAAACTAAAATGAATTCTTGTGCCATTATGGTGGTTGTTAATCTAGGATGTCTTCTTGGTTACATTATGATTGCGATAGCCCAGAAGCAAGAAAGGAGAAGACCTGCATCTCAAACTGAGTTATCTATTTATCCTATTTAGGAAATGTGGTGTGTTTATTAACAATTAGGATATTTGGATTTGAGTGGCTTCTTTAATAGCCCGTAGTATGGCACTTGGTAGGCTTTAGAGTAGCCCCAATCCCACTACTAAAGCTGTATTTGGAGCCCTGTGATATTGGACTGTATATCTCCTCGTAGAACTAATCTCCTTAATGGTTAATAGGAAATAACAGCCTTTCTAACATGAGAGGGTCAATAGTTAATTCAATATTTTTGGAAATAGCAAAAGAATGGGAGGGGAATAGAGTCAGTAACGGGACAAGGAATTAAAAAATTGAAATGTAGGGGATCGGAATCGTCAGTGCTAGATGAAAGTGGAAATGTTTAGTGAATTTGACCCGTTATCCGTTCTTTGTCGGATGAGCAATTAATAAAAAGACTATCCTCTAATTGGATTAACGCAGAATTCCATGCCAAAGATGAATTCGAGAGACTGCTACACCTGTTTCCAGGTACGATTGCTGTAGAACCGGAGTTTAAATATCTCCTACCCGGGGGTACGAATTCTTTTCTGAAAATATATGAACCCTAGTTATTGCTTCGACAGCATTCCCTATTTTTCGCATCAACACCACCAATACTAGTATTTTGGCAATTGTTGCAGACTGATTCGATATGGTATTAAGCGAAAAAAATTTCTTCGCTTTCATCGCTGCCTCCACGCCATTGACTCTGGTATTAAGGCCTCCCGCTTCTGCAAACAGAGACACATGCGGATGACTAATTCACAAAAGCCAGTAAAAGGGCCGGTAATGGCTAATGACTAATGGCGGACGGGACTCCCGTCTATTAACCGTAGTCTTGTAATTTCGGCCCTCTGTCACGCTCCGCGACTAGTCCTGCTTGAGTGAGTTTGCTTAAAGTCCGAGCCCTTGAGTATTGGGTTTCATTAATGATGATTTATTTATTACTACTGGCATGAGAATAGTACTAATTCATATGAACTTGGGCATTATGAGCAGCCAAGATTTAAAATTTGAGGTCCTGTTTAACGCCCTGAACTTATTTATCTATCTCCGCTCGATCCTTTCCTCTTCATCCACTTTTATTATTATTATTATTTATTTACTGTGTGTCACGTCTGAAAGTACGATTTTTTAATAATGGAATAGTTTTCGAATGGACACTTCCACTGTTCAATAGCAATATTCTTTTTAGATTGTTGGTGGATTTATTGATCTATAACGCCAGTTTACTACTGGTTATCGTGTAAAAGATGAGAGACATTGATAACTTTATTATCGAATTTGACCAACAGCAATATCATCAACAGTAGTTATGTCACACTATGGCTAAAAGTATAATAAAATCCTGCGAGTAGATAAAATGATCATTCACACGCGTATAATAATCTCTCTCCAGGCCTGCCCTGCAATTGAAGTTCCAGTCAGACTTTCGTGACTATTTTATGCCTCTAGTTGTAGTCGTAGTTTCACATAGCTATCCAGGAAATCACCATTTATCTAACACTACCCCCACCCCCTATCACTCCTTAACTGCGCTACACTTCAGTGGTAGTGCCTCTCATCCACTCTCTTTTCAATTGAATTGGAGCACCGGTTCTCTGCCTATTGTTTCCACCTGATTTTTTTAGAATGTTTGAGATGAGGCGAAAAAAAATCCGCACAGAGAGAGAGAGCTGATAAGGTAGAGAAGTGGAGCAGAAGTGGTTAAATCGCCTTTTTCGCCCTCTCTCTCTCTACAGATGGCGGTTTTTCATCAAAACGATAGAAATAGGCCTTTTTTGTGGACTCGCGCAAAATTTATGCATGAACCCATATTGGGTGGTGTGGTATGTTCGGTGTGGCTTTTTCTCTCGCTAGGCCTTTGGAAATAGCGAGAAAAAGGGGCGGTGGTGAAGCCGACATTGGGTAATATTTAACACTTTGAATCGTCATTAAATCAACCTTGATCTCTCTCTCTCTCTCACTCGCTCCCTATGTTGCATTTTAAATCACAGCATAATCAGAGTCGGTGGCTTATCTTGATGGTGGAATATTTAACTTAATTTCGTTTGATCTAGATCTTTTGATTTATAAATGTGAGGTAGGGAACATCTATCGTTATAGTTTGGCTATATTTTGGAGTTAGTTTTGCATATTTTTGATGAGAACATTTGGGTACTTGTATGTCATTGAAAAGCTGAATCGAATATTTGAAGATCTGAGCACTATTTGTCCTATGAGCGTTGCCTCGCTGAACCACTTTTCATTCCACCTTATGCCTGGAAATTAAGTCTTCTCTACTACTTAACTAGCTAATTTTGGCGATCAATCAATATTTTTGATATCAGAAAAGTTTTAGTGGAGTTGCAAAGCTGTGGTCTTATTCTTGCTGTTATGGACAATCATTGAGGCTACCTTTTTCATCTTGAATAATTCTTTGACTTCTTTTGCTCCTCGAAACAGCGAATTCATAGGGCTTTACTGGCATTAAATGATTGCTTAAGGACTTCATCCTTTTCGTCTTTTCACTCGGCTTATCTGTCTTCGAATTTCAATTTTCTGTTAAATCTTTTTCATCCATCTATCATTAATAGGCTAAAGAACCCTTGGCTCTCTTCGATGAAGAGCAAATTAATTGTCCAAGGGTTTTCTGAAAAAAATGAAGATTAAGGCACATGGAATTCGTAATTCTGCGCTTGCTTAATAATTCCATGCTTCGTAGCAGTTAGTTTCTGATATTCTAATTCCCTTAGCTATTCAAACCCCAAGACAGTTGAATGATATAACTTCTGGAAACTTATTTTCAAAAATAGCCTACGCGTAAAATCGACTGAATTATCCGTTTCGTTGTGACAACTTGTTCTATTCCGATATATTTATCCTCCCCTTAACCCATTTCCCCCCCCCCCCCCGCTCTTCCCCATTGTTTCATTCATTTTTCACGATTCACTTTTTAAAAGGCTATATTTATGGAAATAAATCAGTTCCTTCACCCTATCTTCGCTTGTGCAACTAGTTTCGCTACCTCATAGTATGCCAATAATTTTGTACTTTGTTAGTCTACAATTGGAGTTACTTTTCAAAAGTTGATAAGATTAAAGTCTCTCGGTCCCTTTCCCCATTGGCGCAATTGTCTTATGATTCTGAACTCCGAGTTTAACCTTTTTTCAGTAATCCTGTATCTACTTCCTCGGCTGCCCAATTAGTTAAATCGTCCTTAGGCGGGTGGGTGGGTGGGTAGGTAGATAAATAGTCGGCAGAAAGTGTTCACACGCTTGTCTAAGTCGCGCTGCCTTGTCTCGCATACGCAAAGTCCTGTGTCTCGTCTCCGCTGTCTTGTCGCTGTTTTTTTCTAGCTTACACACAAATAGTGAACATGCAGTGCATTCACCTTTATGGAGGGTCTTAAAAACATGCCTGGCAGTGCGTAGATTGAAATATGTCAAACACTGCAACCTTTAAGTTTCTGTTCAATTATTGATCTCATCAGGAGGCTTGTTTTATTAGATCATATTTGTTGTTTTCTCTGCGTAGGGGTTGGTAGTGCTAAATTGGTCGTTATTGCGAATACGTTCTCTCTTAACCAACCATTGGTGATAATATATTTCACGGCTGTAACAAACCAATCTGGAGCTCTCTTAATAGTTAATGCATTTTTGCCACTCATACTATGGAGTAAAAGTTTTTAATCACATTAAGCGTCTAGTACAAGAGTCATAAAGTTATTTAAATCAACTTTCACGCAAATGACCGGATATATTTCATTGACTCGGATCTTATGTGCCAATCTAATTTAAACACTTGAAGCTATTGTTGCTTCTTTATTCTACGGAATGGTGATTGTGCCGATGGCGCAAGAAGTATTTATTTCTCTCCTTTAACCAGTCGCATATAATTGGTATTAGATAACTGTTTCTTGAATCGCTCCCTTCAGTTATTGATCGCTTGTTTACTTAGTTGCTGTTTTTCTAATATTCGTTTTTATGCACAGAAGGCGGGTAAGCAATCGATTATTATCATGAATAAAAATAAACATATTTCGATCACCAACCAGGGGGTGATAATGAGTGTACTTGTATTTCAGCCACCAAGCAAATCTTACTTCCGATGGCCTTGTTAAGTTGGCCTACATAGAAGTGGTTTATTTGCCTTTGTTTAGCAGTCCTGGCAATTCTGCTCGGTAATGAATGCCGAGTTCCAGTTTGTGCTTTTCCGATAACATCTTGCTTACTTTAAATTCTGGCCCAATTAATCACTATTTCATGTTGCATTTGTGCTTGACAAAGACCATGTGTGAAGTCGCTTGTGATGTTTAGACGCTTTGAACATGGGCATTTATTGAACTTGAGTGTAGAGGCGGCTAAATTGAAGTCATATGAGGTCACTAACTTCGGGTTAAGCTAGTGAAAAATTGAAACTGTATTTGACGTTCATCCCCCCCCCCATTCTAATTTTTGTAATTTGAAAGCTAAAACCCGCAGAAACTAGGTAATTCCCTTGAGTTTCTCGCTTTTTGTTTGCCGGATTGTTTTTTCCCCTCCTTTAGTAGACTCCTCAATGACTCCAAATATAGTAACCAGCATCTCTTACCCTATCTTTTTTGCTTGAACTAATCTCGTTTTTATCTCCCCTCATTTTCTGCTATCTTTTCAATTTGATTTGTCATTCAAGGTTATTGATGAGTCACCTTCGCCTTAGATAATTTCTTTTATTTTCCAAAATGGCGCAACTTTCAGCGTAATAGTTTCAAATTACTGCCCGCGCGCTGTCTCTCCCACTCTATCTTTTAGCTTGATAGTTAAAAAGCCTTATTCCCAACTTTTATTTGGGAAAGGACACAAAGGTCGCATTCATTCTTCGCGCGGGTGACTCAGATAATAGGACGTCTGCTTTATAGTATTAGTAATCACTTGTACCTAAACAAAGAAACTACTGAAGGAGCCCATGTGTACTTCGTGTGCCATTTTTTGTGCGGAAATTTCCGTCAATACCATTCTTTGTTCACGAACTTTGTACTCCCTCTCTATCTCTCTCGAAATGGAAATTTTTAGGCAGAAATTGCGTACTTAAATGGTTGATTAACCAAATAGTTGACTTAACTTCACGCTGTCATTAACAACGCTTAACAATATTCTCTGTTAAGAATCAAGTGGCCTTTCTTGACCTCCCAGAATCATATATTCTGCCTTCTTATCTGGCATTAGATTGAGGGACAAATTTTTACTGATCATTACAATCTTCTCCACTTACCACCTTTGTTTTACAAAGACCTTTCCATATCTAAAGGAAAAAGGCAAAATGCTTGTAGCGCAATTGATGGCGCAATGATGGGGAAAGTACGATTGCTTAGGCTATTTGATTTATCGCCAATATATTTAAACACAAAACAATTCGTGCTTCAATCTTGCGTCTTCATACATGGAAACACTTTTCTCTATGTGCTTAAGGCACACCTAAAGTTATTTCTATATTATCGATTTTCCTCGCCCTTCATTATGTTCATTAATATAAATTTCGGTTAAAACGTTTTGGCAACCCTGGTTACTGTTAGTGGATCACCGCTTCTAAGCAGTGTTTTTTTAAATGAAAGTCGATATTGAACCTATTAGCTCACAGTCTTAACTGAACTATTGATTTTACGCCACTTGTTGCCGTAATTTCTTGTTACTAACATATATCAGGCTTCTTTTAGGAAAATTTTCTCTCCTTCACTTACCTAATCTATCTCGTATTGATTGGTCTTCCGATAGTATGAATAGGTGTGGTCCAAACGAGTTGTTAGAAAGCATATGTTTACTTCTTTGATATGCGCAAGATTGAATGGCAGTCTTATAAATATTAAAACTAATTATTAGTATCATTCTTTTAAGCTTATCACTAGGCCTACTTTCATCACACAAATAAGGGTATAGAATTTTCATTCCGCTTTTCTTTTCGTTTATTTTTCTCCAACTTTAAATCCTCTTTCGTCCAGACATGGCGTCGACAATAAATGCCGCTGTTACCGACGTCAACATCTCTACTTTGAAATAGAGGTGATATTTCTTCCAAATACACAAATGAATTTCAGTATGTGGTTACAAATCTCATGGGAAAAAGGCTTACACTACATTTATTGGGCCCTTGTAATCAATTTTGAAGCGACTTGCATTAATTTCGGTCATGTTTAAATGTTTTGAAATTAGCACAAATTTGAGATGCTCATCAGAGGACCATGCACCGTTAAGGCTTTTTTACGTTTCCTATTGTCATTACTTTTCACTAAACCGTGGGTTGAGGATGAAGGAGGTATTTGAGAAGTTGTCACGAATTGTTCATTTCCAGTGCTGTAATAGTTACGTCTATTGCAAGACAACAATATAAGTGAACTAGAGTAAAGGAGGGATAAGAGTCCAATGAGCCAGGACTTCGAGAATTCGGCATCAACTCTGGATACATCATGTTCTCAACATTTTATTTGAAGCATAGTTACTGGGAAATGCCCTTTTTCCACAATCGTATGGTGTAACACACGATGTTTAGATCATTTTGCTGCCTATAAGCCTATATTATATAACAGTAATCTCTATCGACTAGATATTTCATATACTTATTTGTAATTGTTTACAGGCGCACAAATGTTTCAGGTCTTTCTCATATTTATTTCTATCTTACTTTACCCCATCATTATCTTCACGAGAATGATTTGTGCTGTATGAAAAGTATGGCCTTATGGATTTTCGTCTCTCTATTTCTACCTCTCTCCCTCCCTCCCTCTTATATTTATTAAGCTTCGATGAGCCCACGCACTTGTGTAGAAAACATCGCCCAATTATGCCTAATTCCTTTGTATTGGAGGAGATTAGACGTACTGATTTCCTCATATTTCCTTGCAATTTATGTGGATCCGCCTCTCCTAATACTGTTTTTTATTGCCCTAAGAAGTGGCACAATAATATTTCATCCTTAGGACCTACGCTAAAACAAAAATAGTACGTAATAATCCATTTTTAACTGTGGTCTGATTTGGGTCTTTAGAATGTACGGAATGTTTATCTAAGAGCATAAACAGCTGATTCTGTGGCCCAAAGCCTGTTGTATTGTTTTTATACATAGTTTTGACAGAGTTTCGAAGGCTGTTATTTTGCTTACATATTTCTTTCCTTCTCAAAGATGCGAATGCTGAATGGTGGAGGAATGGGAATAGACATGCTTGATCAAAATTTGGACATAAAACCATCTCCCTCAACTTTTCAGACAAATACCAACGGCCCTCCGAAACTCACCACATCCGCGTCTTCGAGATTCCAACCCGCGAGTTCAGTAGTATCCGGGGCATCGTCCACTGGGTCAACTTCAAAGCGCCGATCACTGAAACGTCCTGCCCAGTCTTCTAGTAATACTAATAGTAATAACAGTAACAATTGTGTCACTGCTGCCAAGAGCATTCAAGATGGTGTCACTGTTACAACAACAATGGCCCAAACCGTCCCCTTAAATCTCCCTTCTTCGACTACTTCTTCTGCTCTCCCTGATGCTAATGTCTTCCTCAGTATGAATTCTGCCAAACAAGTAGCTGTAAGCCAATATTTACCACTATCCATTTCAATATTATGTCTTTCGTGCCCGATGGTGAAATCGATTATGTAATGTTAGCACCAGCTAATCATTGGAAGCCTTTTAAAGTAGAGCAGTTTCATGGTTTAAGAATAGTAGCCTCTCCCATTATTATCTGTGAGTGAAGACAGCCTTTAAATGCAAATGTGTATTCCGACGTACATGCTGATTGTTAGAATTTTCAGCGCTAAAGCTGCTTGGCATCATAGTTATCTTTGTCGTCACCCTGTCCTAGATTCCAACCTAACACGAAATAGTGTTGTGAAATATAAACCGTTACTAAATTTATCTTCAGATTTGACTAGTACTATTTTGGAAATATCTTTATAAAGAGTGTAACGCCTTCAAATCATATATAAACTGTTTTTTAAAAAGAATATCTTACCCTTATGGGTTTCATCCGAATTTATATATATTTTACCACTTGAGGCTGGTTATGCCCCAACCAACTCACTCTCTACCATACTTTTATTAGATTACGTAGTGTACATCACGCTCACTTATGATTCTTCTTTTCTAGGACCACCAGCAATTTCCAACACACTTTACAACACAGCCAGCAACAGCTCTAATTGGTTGTAATCATCACCACGGTGGAATGCGACCTCTCTATGCTCCCCAACCTATTGGTCCACATACTGTACAGCCTCCTCCTCCACCAGCACCCCTTTCAGGTAAGTCTACACCACGACAACCGGCGAAAAAGAGACTGGAGGCACGAACTCCCACTATTGAGGAACTTGGTGTACCTTCTGCTTTCAAGGCTCTTCACGACACGCCATTCAGTAAGTCTATAAATTTTATCTACTTATATTTTTAAGTAGTAGAGACTGTTCTTCAGTTCGGTTATCTAATGTTACTCTACCTTCTCAGCTCCTGTCTTGGGTCGAAGTGCCAACAGTGCTAGTGGAAGTTTACGGGATGTTTCTGCCCCCACCTCAACAGCCGCTGTCTCGAGTGTATCGGGTGGTGGAAGTGGTGAAGTAAAGACCAAGCCAGAGGAAGACGAGGACGAAGAGATGAACGCGATTTTTGCGGGTCCTGTGGCGCGACGACATCACTCAACTATCAACCAACCACCCATTGGTAATCTGGTCTTTGCAGACTACAAAATCCTCCATGAGAGGCTTCAACAGCATGTTGCTAACGGTGGACTGGCTGCGTTGGAATCGCCCAATGCTCTCTTCTTTAGGTATGCCTCCATTTCTTTTATGGGTCTATTATATGGTAGGTGTTATTGCTATGCGAAATGTTTATGTCACAATCTTAAAGTCCAGTTTTCTTCCTCTGCCTGTTGCTAGTAAATGAGAGTAAATTTTACTTTATTGCTTGATTATTATGATGGTTTTCTTCTTATTTTTCCTCTTAACTTACTTTAATATACCTAAAGTCGACATCTTGAAAGTGTATTAACTCTCAATTTAGATGTTCTGTATAATAGACTGATAGCATTTCATAGTTTTTTAATCCCCCATCTCTGAAGGCACTCCAAGTAAATATCACAGTTGAGACTGACTTAGTCTACTGCTTGTTTGGACGAATAAGGACGTAGAAATATTTCTCGCAAATTAACTAGTCAGTCATCTTCCGTAGAATTCTTGGAATGAAGGAAACTAGTTAGATGTATATAGTCTTCCAGCGGAGAAGTCTTCAAAGTATACTTGCGGCAGTTTCTCGAACTGTCAGGCTTCTTGTTCTACCCTACATTTAGTACATAGAGTATGTTCCAGCTAATCCTCCTTCTGTTAATTGACTGTATATCAAACTCAAAAGTAAGTGTATTCAATCACTTCTGCCTTTTCAACCAGACATTTTGATCCTGCTAATTTAGCTTTGCTTTAGAAGTTTAATGTTGTAAAATCCAGTTTGCGATAGGAAGCGCTAATCGCGTACTGCAGCGTCTTTGTAAAAGGTTGATGACGGTATTTTTCAACGAGGTTCAAGTATGAAAAAAACCTATTCTACGTTATAGTTTCCTTTGAATGTGTTCCTACTTTTGTTTCAAAAACCATTCTGATGAATTTGATGCCCTTATTCTATCCCTTAATTCTATTTTTTGTTGTATTTTAAGAACAACTCCCTATGGGAAGCGATGTGCATCGGCATGTGCACTGCCAAGCCTAAGTCCAAGTATCGGTGTTGGTGGTGGTGGTGTCGGTGGTTTTGCAGACGATTTACGTCAGATGCCCTCGCTCCTCCCCGCATCTCCTCCTTCCCACACTGGGATCGCAGGCGATTCAGAAGGGGGCTCTACTCACCAGATCCCTCCACCCCCTCGACTCACACCCGGCTTCGGAGTGGGATTTGGCGGGGGTCGTCGGTCCAAGCCACCACTCTCCACTACACCTGGTCCACCGGGGCTCTTTGATAGGGATACGCCCGGTAATCTGAGAAACCTGGCCTCAAAAATACGTGATTCTCCTATCTTTTCTGTAAGTTTATTGCTTTTACATTGGATTTCCCATGCGTTTCTTCTAACACCATACTAGTTCTATACCTCTTCAGTTCACTTGAGTTTTGCTATTTATTCCTAACTGTTGCCTAACATTTCTGCTCCAATTAGAGTAATTTCCTTAATTTAGTCAGCTAAGTAGTCGATTGGTATTGCTTCAGAGTGTATAATTTGTTGTTATTTCATCTTTTTTTATCTTCGCCTTCAGCTTGAAGAAACCCTATCTAGCTTGCAAGGGTAAGATATATACTAGTGATTATTTGCTTAGAAACCTGTTTTCAATCTTTCAACTACGTAGGAATCTAATGCATTTAACAAATGTGATAAACCTATAATCTGTTCTTTGACTTAAGGAAGTTAAGTATTTTCCTTTGAAAGTGAAAGTCCGCATCCCACCATTCTTATTTTGTGCAAACTTTTTATCTCACAGGAATCGCTCAAAACCTATAAAAGTTTAAGAAACTACCCAACGAGTGCATACTCATACCCCTCTCTCCCGGGCTGTATCCATTTGAGCAAGGGATACAATTTTAAAACCAAACTTCCTCCAATCTAATGCTTGTAAAGCTGATTTGGCTTCTTTGACTTTTTATTACACTAGATATTGCTAGGTTGCATTTTTCACATTAATATTTGAGGGTCAATCCACTGTCTCAAGGGGTGGAGATCCTGTCTAGGCCGGGCCTCAATAATCTTGCTTATCAGGCTATAAGGCCCCTGGAAGACGAGCCAAGGTGTGAATTGTTCACCTATCGGCAGTGCCATAGACTATAGTTTAGACCTACTTTTGTGGGGGTGGGGGTTCTTTCAAGCACTCCCAAAATACTTTTAGTCTTGAAGTTCTTTAATGCCAACCCTATATCGAATTATATGGAGGCCGTTATTATCTTCAAGGTTTACTTACCCTTTCTGTCAATAAATGTAATATTGATAGCCATGCAACTATCTACATAATTCATATCTTAACTATAATCATTTGATCAAAAAGAACTTAGTAGGTTTTTTTGTATGCCTTTTCTCGGTGATTGGTTTTTGAGGAGTATCTTGATGTACACACTATTTCGTATCATACGAATTAAGTTCAAGTGTCCTATATGTGAGGCTTCAATCAATTTCGCCGTGTACAATTTTAGTCTTCATTTAATAAACCGAGTTTTCGGTCTTGAAATTATAGTTATACATGTTTAAACGTGATTAATTCACATTGTGTTTACTAACTTCAGTTTGAACGTTATAAGGTTAATTAATCTGCCTAGGTTTCTCTTAAATCATGCTCTCTTGAAAACATGGTTTATTCTGTTTAACTTGTGATAGCGTTAGGAATAACCAGTCTATGTCAAGTAGAATTTGAGTTTGATTGATGGGATCAAACATTACCGAGTTATTTTCCTGGAGAAAATGTTATCTGGAATTATTTCAGATTCTGTTATTTCAACTTGGGTTACTAAAGCCTATTGACGTAAGTATGGTGCGTTTATGTTATATTTTTTTTCAAATTTTCTGGTTTTCGTTTAAAGTTGAAGTTTTCAATTGTTTTTAATGCATTTCAAAAAATACTCACGTATATCTAATCGATTTCAAAATTGTGTCACGATTTAACTTTTCTATCATTCACAACGTATAGCTTTAGCTTGTAGGAATGTTGGAAGTTGTGTTAATTCCATTAGTAAAGCTGCACTGAGTCCAACTACGTTGGACTTAACAGTATCCACCTGCAAACATATTGATCTTCCTAAAAAAACTAACAGCTTAAACCTCCCTTTCACAAATCCGAGGACAATGGGTTGAGTTACATTAAGCAAATGCATAAAAAGAGGCAATGGAGAATTGGGGAAATGATGGGCTGGTTTGACCCAGGTAATAATGTGAAGGACGAATCAAGACTTGACGAAGATTTCGATTAATTGCTTGTTCTTCGTTAATGAACAATCATTAAAAACCGCAAATCGTCAGTTATAAAGGTGCTAAGTTATGTGTCAACATAGTCTGTCTGTTGTTTATCTAAATCCGGAACATACTAAGTTGCAAACGTGTGTAATACTAAAATTTGACTTCAAAACGACCATTGTTTTGCTCAGAATACTCTGAATAATCACCCCTTTTCGGGCCGTTGGTAAAGAAAGGGCTTTCTACTGAATGAATATGCCAAATGGGTGATTAGAAGTCATCTTAAAAGGCTTTTGTACCTGTAATGTGCTTCTAAATATTGCAAATGATGTCTGTACTATTCAAATCTTAATCTGTTCTGTATCCAACGGATCGAAATCCTCATAGGATGCAACACTTGATGGAAGAGATTTATTGACATCATGACTTAATACTCATCTTTAATTATTTGAAATTAATATTCCAGCGCCTATTTTAAAGAATAGGGATGAATATTGTTCTTATCGGTGTCAAATAAGCCTATCATACTTGTATCTAAACCAGCAAACAATGGCATGCATGGTAAGCCTACTTAAATCTGGTCGGTAGAAGTTGTCATGTCTTAGATAATTTTATTGCTTTGATTTGCAGAGTCATGGTAATATGTTGACATTAGAGTTCCTTTTGTAAGTCCAACATGCCCACGACAAAGGTTTTAGCTGAATTAACTTTCCTCATTCTGTCCTAAATTAGTTTTGCTTGGTGGCTTGAGGTTTTATGTTAGGATGGTTGATTGTATGCATAAACACTTAATAATGTTTTATTATCTTTCAGACAAACCCTGAGATTCTCGAAGTCCTAGTTACCCTTGCACAAGAGTATGGCGTGCAATCTAATCGTGCGGGTAGTAGTTGTAGCCGTAAGCCTTTAATACTTCTACTTAAATCCATTAAAGTAGCTTGGTAGCTTTACAATTATCTTTCTATATTTATAGGTCCTGCAAGCCAGCATTATCTACGACGCAATCTTTTCTTAGGCAATGATTCTCCAAGTCCAGCGGGTCTTCCGCTAAATATGTTGAGTACTCCAGTTTCTGACAGTGCTGGTGGGACTGACCTCATTGCTCCAAACAACAACTCAACCTCAACCACCAATCCTGCCAATCAAAATCAGCAGCAACTTCTTTTTGATCATAATTCACCACAAGCGCCGCCACCTCAATCTGACTACAACCAGTGACCTTTGAACATGTATTTCCCTTCCTAACAATCCTGGGCAGCGTCCAATCTTCCCTTGCAGCCCTCAGATGACAATTGACCTTTTCTTCCCATGCACTGCTGTGTGCGTGTGACTTTTTGGTTCACTTCTCGCTTTTCTCCCCCTGTGTACCTCTTTGTGCATCTCGGTGCTATTTTTATTCCTTTATTCCCCTGATGCTAACGATAATTATATTCGTATCTCACTATCCCCTCCCCCTCCCTCTAGGTTACTCGGTTATTTTGATAAGTTTTCAGGAATCAAGCGCCAACGTTGCCAGTTTTCTTTTTTGGTTTCTCCCTTTTTCGCTTCGTCTATTTTTGGAACTTTTCTCACTACTCTCCCGAATGTGTGATAGGACGAAATATTCCCTTCCTATTTTCCTCTGCCTTTCACCTGTTGGCTGTTGACAATTTGTGTTGGTGTCTGCTTGCTAACTTATTTTAAAAATGCGCCATTCTTGTATTCAGCAGTAGAAAAAGCACGTCATTTTTTGCGTTGCTTAAACCCACCGGTCTGCCTTTGTGTGTCCAATCAATTCTTGCGCGCCAATAAAGAAAGCTGTTTTGCCTCCTTTCAATTGTACTCCCTTCTTTCACTCACCCTTTCTTTGTTTGCATCTCTCTTGTTAAGTTTTGTGCTTATTACTCTGTCTCTTTCCAACTACTACCACTACTTCTACTTATATTAATATTATTATTCTCTATATATAAATAACGTCAAATATGATAATATACGAAGAAAGTAAAAGAGTTGCTGTATTTCTTTGAGCAGAATTAATTGTGTTTTGACTGGGGGTGTTTTAAGTGACCTAGGCGCTTTAGGGCTAATTTTACCAAGGACATAAATTGTTTATTGAGTGAGTTTAAAAGTTCTAAGACATATGCCATAACTTCAAGTAGATCAAAGTTTTATTATTTCAAAGATGCCTCTAAAGCTTCCTTAATAGCACACAACTGTCCAATCAGGGTCAAGACAGGGTGCTCTCAAAATGACTAGCAATTTTTTAACCTTCAAATGGCAAATTTTGAGAACAGAGCTAACATAAAATGTTTGTCTAAGCAAAACTGGAACCCAGTTAGGATCATAGAACATTTAGAGAAGGTTTATAGGGTCTTTGCGCCATATAGAACAGCTATTTATGATTTGAGTAAATGCCGTAAGGAGTGAAGAAGGCAACCTGTTGACAACCCACGGGAGTGATACCCACTACAGCAAGAAATCAAGAAAATATCTCTTTTGCGAAGAACCTATTGAGGAAATCGCCAATGAAGTAGGAATTACACATAGATGCGCATTTTTAATTCTCCAGAAAATATTGGCTTGAGCAAGCTCCAAAGGCGTTGCAGAAGTAACTAGTCTAAACAGCTGAACTTTGTTCATCAACTTTGGCATAGATGGAAGCAAATGAAGGTAAATTTTAAGCCTTGTGTTTCCGGGGAAGAAACCTAGATCTGCTAAATTGATACAGAAAAATAAATTCAATCAAAAGAGTGGCATCCGAAGGAAGCACCTGAGCCTGTCCAATTCAAAGCTGAAATGTGGATTAGGAAGGTAATGGCCACCAATTTTTGAGATTCGAAAGGAATGATACATATTGATAGACTTTCTGGAAGAAGAAGCGGTCACCTCAAGTTAGCATGGTGTTTTGACAACGTTGGTGACATGTCTGACTAAAATAACGGTAAGCAAAACTGCACAATCAAATTTTTGTTCCATCATGAGAATGCCTCTGAACATTCTTAAAGAGCTATCAGGCTCCTGTTGCACGAACTTCAAAAGAAAACAACTCCACATCCTTCTTATAATTCAGAACTAACTCCTTTTTTGTTTCCGAAACTGAAAGAACAACTCAAAGGAATGCGGTTTACGTCTTTATGGTGAAGCAAAGAGGCATATAATTTCATGGTGCCAGGGACAGTTCCCAAAATTCTACCACGAGAGAATTTTCAGGTAGAAGTACAGATTATAAAAGTGTATTGAAAACAATGGAGCCTATATAGAAAATGAATGGAATCACTTGTTAAATAAATAAATAATGGAATTTGCCTGAGAACTGGGTTACATCAGATCGTTGTTTTGGCCATTAGTTGGAAAACTATGACCAAATATACAGAAATTTGACTGACTCTTGTGGTAAACCTAACACCAACACGACTGGACCAATGAATTCTATGTGCGCTAGAACTTTCTGGAAATAGCAGTATGCTATATATCCCGCAATCACTATGTGGGGTCAAGTTGATGAGGTCCCGAACGCAGAAACCTCCCAGCCAATCGGCGTAGAAAAATTGTATTTAATTATTGCTCTCCATATCAGTTACACAACCTAAATACTCGTGTTCTATGTCATGCATATATATATATATATTCACTTAAATCTAAAACTATCAGGGGCATCAAATTTCACATGAAAAATTCGGAAGTATATTAGATTTAAAAAAGCGAATTTGATTAAATCAAGCAGTTGGAAACTCGTCAATCGTAACCCAATTAACAACTTTAACTTTCAAGTTAAAACACCTATGCACAACTTTGCGATTATTATGCTGCTTTAAAACCCGTAATATGCATTTACATCAATTAAGTTGAATGATTAGCAATAAGAAAGGCGTATATAGCTTATTACAACAATCACAGCTTTAATCTGCGTTTTCGATAAACCGTGTTTTTCTAATTGGTTGCTAACAGAATATAATGGAAGCTTTCATTCTAGTAAATAACTTTAGCACTTATTAATAGATTATTTAAAATTTATTAAATTAAACTTGTTCATGTATTAATTTTAAGAATGTTTTCATAATCGTGCAAATTTTGAGGTTATCAAAAACATATCTAGTTAACAATGATAAGATATGGTTTATGGTTAAACTAGAAGATAGAAGAATGGCATCTCTTTTTCATCAGTATTTTACGGTTCAGATACAGTAAATACTATTAAAGAAGGCCAATCAATAAAAATTCATTGCATGTTCAACATTGCCGTTCTCTCATTCACATCATTCTAGAGCAACTAATGCTGGCAAAGCCTCTAATGAATCCTGCTGTAATGGTTGCATTTTTTGAGCTAATTGAGATCAAAACTGCAATATCTAGCTATCCAGACGCCAATTTCCTGACTTTAATATAAAAAATTAATTTTGAATTTTACTAACATTCCATTCATCCTTCCGAATGTTCAAATATCTCTTAATAGATTCAATCCCTTTATATTTAGTCTACCACCAGAAAATAAGATATATTAGTCAAAGTAATTTTTGCCATGGTCAAAATATGTGGAATTATTTTTTTATCAAGAGCCATTATCAGCGTTGATTTCCGCAATCTTAACTAAACCATTAATAGTCATTTAGTATCTATTATTTTGTTAATTAAAAATTTAATTGCTACTAAAATTAAGCTAATCTATATCGAGAACCTAAAATTGTAAACATTGACATTGCACAATATTATATATATATATATATATATTTATATATTGTATATAATATTTTTCAAAGTCAAGAAAAAATGATGACATAAAACGAATAAATATGTGGATATTATAAAAGAACAATTGCTGAAACTTTTCTTAAATTAAATTTTCATGAGATTAATTTATTTATCCTTTGATACTGCAGTTAATAACATCAAATCCTCGTCAAAACAAAGAGATTATTTTATTTCGTCAGTTAGACTACTAAATTATATTAAAAAATAATAATGTAAAATAGAGGGAATATAATATAACTATGCAAATATTATTATAATTTTTTTAAACTTTACGAAACAAAATAATTGTTTAAAATTGCCTTCGCCTACCCCAACGTGACACATTTGGATATAGATAGTATCGAGTGATCATGGATGCTGCAAAAACTACTTCTCCGCCGCAAAGCGCTAGGGTATGTCATTAAAATCGTTATTAAATTCCATGTAGAGCTATTTCCTTTATTAATCTCGTTTATATTCATGTTTTTATACTTTAAAATTGCTGCCTTGTAGGTGTTGAGAGTTATTGGCCGCACCGGCTCTCAGGGTCAGTGTAGTCAAGTTCGCGTCGAGCTCTTCGATGTCAAGCGAAGCATTGTTCGCAACGCAAAGGGCCCAATCCGTGAAGGCGACATTCTCGTCCTCCTGGAATCTGAAAGAGAAGCTAAAAGACTCCGCTAGATTTTCAATAAAATGCATTGTATTTAATCACGGTTACTTTGTAGTTCTTATTTTTGTTTACTGCATCTACCATTACCTTTAATATTAACTATTGAGCAAACTTTCTAGTTGAACTTTTGGTCCGTTGTTCACGGACGCAATTAACCGTCGAGATGTGGATTGGCGTAAACCGTTTAAGCATTCAGTCTGTTTGTGGAGGTTACTAGTATTCTCCTTCTATTACTCCATTTCAATTGAAGGCGTACTGGTTGTGTTCGAATGGTTTATCGGCTTGTTTACTCCGTGGAATGCCTGGAATTTACTTTTTAAAATTGTCAACTGCCTGGATTTCGTTTTGAATCCTTGTTACAAAGCATTTCCCCGTTTTGGGGTTTAATTTTCTCGAGAAAATATCATTCGTGTATTCTCCTGATCTAACAACCGCAGGTAGGCATTGAGTGTCTTACAATGAGGTGCACACTTGTCTGCGGGGTTATAGTTTTGAGCAAATAACTGGTGGGATTTCAGTTCCGAAAATAATCACTGCTTTAGTATTTTGTGGAGGGTTGTCCTACTTGAAGATTGGTATCTGTTGGCTGTTTGAGATGCTGACTTTTCCACTTTGATTCCTCGATCCCTTTCTTTGGTTTCTTATTTGGATCACTTGATTTTAAACTTAATTCAATACCATAGCGTGTCTAATCGTCCGAATAAATTTAGCTGCTTTTTTCAGATTTGGTCATATTTTCCGTGATTACGCATTTCCTAAGGTATGGGGGGACGAATTTTCTACTGCTGGCACGTTTGATAAATGACACGTCTGTCTAAAAAATACGTTGGTATCTTGTTGTTCCGGAGTTTACTTTTTTGAGATTATTCCTTATTTATCTGTATACATCACTTAAATTTATTTTTAATTTGCGCATGGAATGATCTAGCTCATTGAAAGGCATTTTGCCGAGTTCTAGTAAAATGAGTACTGATATTGAATGTTGGCTTAAACGGCTACTACAGCGAACACTTCTTTGAACGGCAAATTTCAATCTGTAACCTAGTTTGCCATATTAATTTTTAAAATCTCAGAGTCAGCTCATTGTCATAGGTTTTTAGCCCTATTTGGAGTTGGGAGTTTTAAAAGCGCCAAAAATCTATTACTATATAGGAATGTACGAGATTAAGAATATACAAGTACCAAAGATGGTGTAATGCTATCAATATCGAATAAGGAGGGGTGTGGGATAGACTTACCTTCACGTGGTGCAACCTGGGTACGTATACTCATACGGCAAAAGGTCTATTATTCGGCAGTTGACTTTGACTTTAAACTACAATCACCTCACTGTATGTCACATTACACTACTTCCACCGTACTCACATCACCTTTTTACCTTTGTGACTGTATCTTTTACATCTTTGAAACTCTTCTGTTCCCCCAACAAACTCGACTTTTTTCACTTTGATGTTCCTTCCCCTCTCTGAAGCCTGAAGTCAACTAAAGGGCTAATGATAACTATCAAAACGCGTGCCATTCGATATAAATAAACAAATTTTGAGTAAGGAAGTTTCATTCGCACCCATTATCGTGATGCTGATTCTGTTGGGCAGAAATTCTAGTGAAAAATCGGTCCTTTATTAGTCCATCCCTAATTGTATTTCAGGGAGCAATCTTCGTGACTGTAACCCTACTACCATAAATACATTTCATTCCATATGATGTACTTCCATGATTGCGTTGAGATTGTTTAACTAACCTCGGTTGCAATTTTATATTTGAGGATTTTGCGATAAGTTGGTGGGGTTTAGATAAGATTTACTTGTATTACGTAAAGCACCCGAGACATAACTCCTCCATTATCATAAGTAATCCCATATACGAAACCAATTTTGCGTAATTCCTAAATCACCTTCATTCTATGTATTTGTAAGGAAATTGGATTGCATAAGAAAGAGCAACAGCTGATTTAATTTTTCTGCATTCATGTATGCCACTTTCAGCTCTTAGTCTATTGACTATTTACTGTTATTAAAACATATTCAATATAAAATGTGTTTAAAATATAAAATAAAAACTGTCGTCAAAATCTATATAGTATATTTATGATCCAGTTTATTTGTGATTTGTTTTAGCCTTTGAATGCAATTTCACATTTACCTTGTCCTATAGTGCCTCTTTATTCCATTGGCTGACTTATACTCCCTTTTAATTGGTTGCCTTTCAACTTTGAATAATCGCATCTGTATAATTTCGTGCTTTGTGTTCCATGTTGGGCTCTTTATAGCTTTATCAGTTGATTTATTAGATAAATGCTAAATACGTTTAAATTTTGAAATAATAGACCTTTCAATGAAATCATCATATGAAGCAAATAATTTTAGCTCGAAACTTTCCAATTTAAAGGTTGGTTTGTGTATAATTTTAATGATTTTAGACCTCTCTTGCATATTGGGATGAGTTGATTAATAAATCAAATAAATTAACTTCTTCAATGAGGTGAAGTCTTTGTCTTTAAATTTTGAAATTTCTTGCTGTTAGGCCGACAATTTCCCTGACATTTGTATTTTAGCGTGACCATGCAATGTATGTCCGGTTTTCTGGAGGCATTTCAAAAGATTGCAGACATTGCAGAGACAAATGATGCTGGTTTACGCCCTTTCGGCATTGCTCTACGACGATATTGTCTCCGTCAGCTCTCCATTGAGTCCCGTCTTCGTAGTTTTAATAGGTAAGTGTTGATTTAGTCTATTTTTCATATTTGTTTTCTTTCAAATTGCCAAATTTTTATTTCCTTTTGGTTAATTTTAGTCAGATCACGGACTGTCTAGTGACCCCTCTCTCAGATAGGTTGGAGGAGTGGCGTCGAACATCTAATCAAATGGACAGGGACTCCGTCAAAGAACTTCGCAAAGCCAGAGCGGAATTACAACGTGCTATGCTAGAAGCTGAAAAATGCAAAAAGCGAATTAAGCGCAAGGTTTGTACGATTCTTTAATGTGTATATTGCCCAGTTATGCGTGCATATTTCATATAGCATATTTGTGCCTATGCTAGAGCTTCATTAAATCCAAGTTGCGATCTTTAGTAAGTAACACCGCTTTTTGAATTTTGTACTCTTTAATGGTGGAATCCGGAGATGTTTTCTATATTGTGCTTACTCTATGTTTTTTATTGTAAGTTTGAAATATATATTTGCTCGTTTGAATTCCTGTTATGTATTTGGGTAATTTATTACCTCTTTTTATTCATACATGTTTTTTGGCTATTTGTAGCTTTGCTTTACTCGTTAGTTTTTTTTGTTGATATTTTACCACTTTAAAGTCTAAAACTTTTCCACTATTTACACAGTGCTTTTTGTTATTGATGGTAAACTTCCAACAGATTTTATATCACGTCCCCCTATTTGTACTAGTTATAGGGTGATTCCGGTGTCATTGATCTCGACATACATCGAACGAATGATGAAGTAGAATTGATCAGTTTTCTCATCAGAAACCCTCCAGGGCGTTGCTTTTCTATTGTTATTGAGCTGGCATTTACATATATCAGTTTTCCCTCATGTTCTTTAATTTGTTTCGGTGATTGCGTTTATTTTTCATTAATAAGAGTGACTGACGAAAATGCTCTATGTAGGTATATTTATTTAATTAATTTTCTCAGAATTCGATTGTTTGCTTGACATGAATCTCGATCATTTATTCTAATCCTATTTCGTTCTCTTACTACTTTTATTGATTTCTCGGGCATCCGAAAGATAGCTATTTTAATCCTTTTTTCTATTTATATGATGAGATTTGCAATCAAAACGTCTCTTAGGTTTATGTGATATTCCTTTTTATACTGACTTCTTACAATTGCGAAGCTATCTGTGAGATAAGTCTATTTGAGTCTTTTTACTACATTTAATGAGATATCAAGATTCAGTATTAACGCTTTCTCTTGTTAATTCTTCTGCTCTAACTGTCTATGTTGTTTTCCACTTAACTTTTGCGGTTAGGTGACAAATATTACTACTTCAATTTATTGCTTATATTGGTAAAGTATGTGAGCAAATTTGCATGTTCATGGATCACAGTCATTTATGTCCGCTTGAAGGTGGATTGCTTAAAAGTAATTGTTGAGGCTTTGGCTCCCTTAATTTTCGGAACGGATTGATGTTTTTATGATTGAAATTAGCAATTTATAAATCTCAAGTCCCCATTCAAGTACGAGGGGTTAGGGTCTCTAAGTCTCCATGATCAGAAACACGAGCTTTACCGCCCACTTGGTAAGTGTTGTGCATAGTAATTTGCCTTTGAATTATCATGCTACCTACTTGAAATCATGAAAAATCAATTAATTAACTTTGAGCGATTCTTGTTTTATTGTCCTTATTCAGGTTTATTCAAACTTTTTAGGTCACCAGACCATAGTTTTTGTGTGTGAATTCTCATTTTGCAGATCGGCTTATATGAGCGAACTTCGATTGCAGTACCTATTATTATTTGTTCTCTTTATAAAGCTCAAAGTTCAAACACAATCAATTAATGTCTACTTCAATTTTATATATTAATACATCTCCAATAAATAAAATGCCTTATGGCTATCTCTGCGCGGCATCTTATTCTCTTTATTAAGTCTATTTGAATACGACTTATTTGTTGGCCAAAGTGCGGATTGGCCTGAGAGATATATTCGTTCTGGAACCAATGATCTCTATTCTGTTCAAGTTAGGTTTTAATTGTTTGGACGTTTGAAATTGATCTGTTAAATTTTAAGCTTACCTGGATGTTGAGTCCTTGGTGAGAATTGGTCTGTATTCGTATTTCTGTTTGTTAAGTTTATTTGACCTATCAATTCAACTTCGAATTCGGAAAAGGAGAGAGGCATTTACTTGCTTTTAGAAGAATGAAGTTAAGAATATTTTTTATTGCTTGATTTTAAAAATGCTTTGAGGGAAAAATTGTCATATATATTAGTTTTTTACTTGGTTATTTTTGTAATAATTTTAATTTTCGTAATTTCACAATCTATTTTTTGAGTGCTTGATTGAATATTTGTACATCATACTTTTATACATTTTAATAGCGCATTGGCGTATGCTTAGAATATTAAGTGTTAACTCTGTCTTCATGACTGTGGAGGTGTTAGTTGCTCTGAGTTAAGATTTTTTGTTTTTTTCAATTTATTATCTCCCAAGATTAATATGCTTCGATTTTAGCGGAAGAAAAGGAAACCGACTGTGAAGTTTTGTGGTTTTGGTCATGAAAAATAATTCGTTCAAGACGGAAGTTGTGGTTAGCATCATTTTGTTAATAAAACTCGCATGAATTAGGAAGTGGGAGTGTTCTGTTCAGTTACAACTCAGCTCTAAATACGCTTGGCATTTTCGTAACTTCATGTTCTACCAATTAAAAGTGGAAGAATACAATCGTTCGCGTTTACGAAAACTCGAAATATCGCGTACTGTTTGTTTTGGATCCTCAAAGTTATTAGCTTACAAAAGCCGCCGAGCTTTGCAGCTATAGAATTTTATAACTTTAATAGCTAGAATGTAGTTTTAATAATTTTAAAATCCTAGTTTGGGGTGTTAAAATTACCAGGGTATTAAATTCTTAATAACGATTGGTTGCTCAAACAATTGATTAGTCATCCATTCTGACTTTGAACATGGAAATTTCTGTCCATTCAATATGGCAACTGTGCGCAAATGTTCGTTTTGCCATTTCTAATTTTATTGAGATTTGTTCTTTACTTATGTCTTATGGATAGTTTCTGCTGCAATCAGTTTACAATTTTCATTTGTAAAGTCATGTGTCATGAATTCGCTGTCCATTTAGGCACTTCAGTGAGCGGTATGTCCAAACGCAATAGGTTAGTCATCGAATTTCTCTTAAACCAGACTAAATCATTCTATCTCAATATGATGGGCTATCTAAGTGTTGTTTGAATTTACTGATAGTGTAATTTTAACGCTTTCAAATAATATTTCGCGTATCACAGAATTTTTGTAGATTGATTATCAACATGAAAGGAGCTGAATTATATGTCGTTTTTTTCTGCCCTTCAAGTTTAAAATGCTTTAGGATTTGGCGCCAAATTCGGCGCTGTGTTCTCATACAGTCTCTTATCAGATACAATTACTCTGACGTACAGAAACAAATTCTCTCTCCAAGTTTACATCTCCTCCTAACTAACTCTTCTGGATTCAGTTCTTCATAGTGGAGACATTTTTGGACACAATAATGTACAATTTTGGTCAATTGACTTTTTTATGTGTATCTCGTTTATTTACCTAACCTTACTAATTAATTAGTACATTAATATAGTAAATTAAATGTCTTGAATTGCTCTCTGAAAGATGGTCTTAATAGTGGTCAGGGAATATTTCTGTCAGTGAACGAAATGTCCAATCATGACAATTAATTTTGATCAATAGAGAGTTTGCAGAATGTGAGCTCACCATATGAGAGGCTTCAAGATATTACTCCGCTCAAAATGCTGTTCTTTGTTCGTCGGTGCCTCGTTGGTCAAAATGCAAATCCTAAAAATCATAGGTAATGAAATTGATACTCATCAAAGCACATCCAGTGATGTGGGTGGTCATATGTAAAATGAGAATTTCGCATTAGAGTAGCTCCGATATACCTTCCCTTTACTCGAGTTAAGTGTTCTTAACACTTTGGACTTTGAATTCACTCTTACTGGACGAAGTCTGGATATATTTATTAAGAACTGTAATGACGATTAGTATGAGGGGTTACGTTATGTAGAAGACTTCATCTCCTGGCAGAGTGGATCAGTAATTCTCAAAATGTAGATTTGTCCTATCTTATTTGCCAATCACAATTCCCGACCTAATCTAGGCTACGCGCTTTCCTCTAAAAGTGCATCTCCTAAAGTCTTTAATGTCACCGTGAAATGTCCTTATGACTTATTAGTCTTCCATTAATTTCTCCATCTGTTTCTTACTCACTTGTAATATTCCTTCATTTTGTAACGTTTCTTCAATTTAGGCAAGTTTTCATTTTGAAAAGTTGACATAGATTCGGGTAGCGCTTCCCGTCTTGTTACCATTTTTTAAGACAATGAGCTTGCCTTTTGGAATAGATGAGAGATCAAGTGCGAATGTGTCTTCTGGAAAGTAATGTCTTGCGAAGTTGGTCTTTGAATTTTTACTTATCCTCACTTGACAATCTTGTAGTCAATCTACTAGGTTTATTTATATTGTACTTGCGGAATATATTGGTTTTTGGTTTAAGATCTATTTATGCATCTTGTTCATTATCAGGTTTGAAGTTGAGGCGCTGCAGTATTCAATCATTTATGAGGGTTTGTTTCATAAAGTGAATTGAAACTAGCTCCCAATAACTATCTTCTGATACTTGGTTGTTCAAGAGTGTACAAAGTTATCGGGCCACGGAGTTCCGATACTACTTACTCGAATACAAAAAGGGTACGGTTTACTGCAAACATATGTGCCAAGGGCACTAAAAGATCCTCTCAAAAACTATCATTCAAAGGTCAAGGTACTATAATAAAATTTTGATCGGTTTAAAAATCTGCAGGCTAGTGTTTATGCACTAATCAAGATTTACCTAAAACCTCATTATGCATGCTCTTCATTCTCATGCCACTTTAAAAAAAACCATGAATAAAAATTAATTATTATTACTAATGTAGAATTATACTTCTTGATTAACTCTTTATTAAAAGTACAGAAAATCCACATGGGGTTATTAGAAATTAAATGGAATATTCTTGGTCTTTTTCCCATTTCTGGTAGCCGAATTTTTATGACCAATCTGAGACTTTTTCCTAAATATCTACCCTGTTTGATTATTTAATTATGGGCTAATTTTGAGGCGGGGGGGGGGGGGGGGGGGGGGTTGGTTATGCTCACCTTCCAGTGGAAATTTCCAACTTCATATCTTCCATGGTTAAATTTTTATAGATTTCTTTCCGTTGTAGCAAGTTCCTTTTTTGCTCTTCCAAGATGGTTTGAGAAAAAACATGCCGCTGACACGAAACACGGCTCCTTTCTCTAATAAATCATAATGTACTAGCAAACTATTGTATTTTGCGCTTCCCTAGTATCGCCGTTCGAAATGCTCTTTTCACATCGGAAAAAAGCAAACCGCTTTGTCCTGATGTCTCTTGTGATTACTTAATCCCCGTGGGATCATAAATTTCTACATCTGTCATTAAGCGGTTGTGAATTTATTGCAGTTGCTGTTCCCAGACCCACTCCACCTCCATCTACATTTCCAGGTTTTTTTTTCCAAAGTCGTGACTTGAATTCAGGTAACAAGGGTTCAGTTTTTTCCTACTCACGATCGTTTTTCATTAAAACATAAAATTCCTTAACCATATTCTGGATATAGAGTATACCATCAGTAATCGAATTACGCCAGAAGATATCCGATACTCGGATTTAGTAGGCAAAGAACCGATTTTTAACTTTATAATTCAATTAATGTTAAGAAATTGTTGCAACTTATCTATCCTGGAGTTAATAATTTATCCGATTAGCTGGTAATGCATTCTTTTAGGCATCTACTATCATGAATGAAATGGGAAAATTAATTGGAAAATTTAGAGCTCGATTGACGACTTCAGTTTCTTGCTCCATATTTATTTCCCGATTAGCAAATCTTTGGTATGTGTAATGTAAACCTGTCCGTTTTTCCCCTTATATAAACAAAATATCGAAATACATCGGTCGTCACCTCTTATCTCTTTGTCTTAAAGTCCTTTCTCTTCCCTAATCTAAGTACATTTATCTACCTTAAGGGTTGAAGGTGGTTCTCTTTCACATTACGGCTTATTGAGAAACTGAGATCCATCAGATGCACTCTATTTGTAACTCACCTCCCATCTTACGATCATTTCAAATAGCTAAATTGTGCTTTTGTTTTATTGATTAGTCGCTCTTAAAGCAAATTCTACTCATTAGTGTTAGGACGCGTATTGGAGCCAAATTGTAGTTGAGCTACTGAGTCGTGCAACAAGGAGTGAAAGGGTAGAGATCAGGCAGAATTTGGAAGAAAATTCTGGCTATCAAGGGTATCGTCCACCGTATTGACAAGGGAATTCTTGCTTACCATGTGCTGAACATAACTGCCGGTTGGTGTATTTTGATGTTGATCTTATCACTTCTATGCACTCTTTCCTCCAATGACCAATAAGCTTTCACGGCTTAACTTTAGCAGACTTTAGTTTCAACAAATTCCAACTTTTAGAATTTCTCTCTTAATTCCTTATGTTCTTCTCGCACTGAAAAGTGTGCTACACCGGTAACTAGATCTTTGTTGTTAATCGTCATGAGATTTTACCACACACCAAAGTTCGAAGTTTGCCTTCTGGCAGGTCGATATACTCTTCGTTTCGTTCCTTGCTATCGGCATTTTAACATCACCTATTAACTCCACTTCTAAGGAACTTTCGACATTTTTCGTTGTAACCATTTAAAATTTGCGGATGCAAGAGAGCACTAACTAAATCTACAGAGGAAATTTCGAATTATTTATAAGTAGTTCTCATGATTTTTTTGATTTCTGGCAAGGTAGTGCGCAATATATATATATATATATNATATATATATATATATATATATATATATATATATATATATATATATATATATATATATATATATATTTGTTGGGCAAGCGGATTCATGCGTATAAGGAAAAAATGTGGTAGTGGGTGGGTGGCGAGATTTCTTATGCAATTTGGGATCGTTTTTTCTCTCGAAGGTCCTTTGAAAAGGATCGCTTTGAGAGTTTCGTGCTAATTTTGAGAATGATATTTTGACCAATTTCAATCACCCATTTATTTTGTGGAATTTCAAAAAGGTCTTATTGATAATGCTAATATTAAATATCTGTATACACTTCCAATATTTCCTTATTTGGCGAATTCTTTCTCTGCGTGATTTTTTTTCAAGTCTTGTAAATGACTTCCTACTGGAAAATCTAAATGCGGTAAGGAGAACATTTGTTGCTGCAAATATTAATATTTTCTTCCCCTTTCCATATGCTTAACCGCACACACACACACACACACACACACACACACACACACACACACACACACACACAC